CCCCCCGCCCCCAATCCTACCCACTGCACACAGCACCCTGACCACAATCCTACCCACTGCACACAGCACGATGAGCACAATCCTAAACAATGCACACAGCACCCTGACCACAATCCTACCCAATGCACACAGCACACTGACCACAATCCTACATAATGCACACAGCACTCTGACAACAATCCTACCCACTGCACACAGCACCCTGACCACAATCCTACCCACTGCACACAGCACTCTGACAACAATCCTACCCATTGCACACATCACCCTGAACACAATCCTACCCAATGCACAAAGCACCCTGACCAGGATCTTACCCACTGCACACAGCACCCTGACCACAAACCGACTCTTTTCACACAGCACCCTGACCCGGATCCTACCCATTGAACAGCAGAGCTTCTTAACCACAAGCCTCTTCACTGCATTTAGCACCCTGACCACAATCTTACTCAATGCAAATCCTACCCACTGCACACAGCACCCTGACCACAATCCTACCCACTGCACACAGCACTCTGACAACAATCCTACCCATTGCACACATCACCCTGAACACAATCCTACCCAATGCACAAAGCACCCTGACCAGGATCTTACCCACTGCACACAGCACCCTGACCACAAACCGACTCTTTTCACACAGCACCCTGACCCGGATCCTACCCATTGAACAGCAGAGCTTCTTAACCACAAGCCTCTTCACTGCATTTAGCACCCTGACCACAATCTTACTCAATGCACGCAGCACCCTGACCACAATCCTACTCACTCTACTCCGCGCCCTGACCACAATCCTACTCACTCTACTCCGCACCCTGACCACAATCTTACTTGCTGCATTTAACACCCTGACCACAATCCTACTCACTGCACACAGCACCCTGACCACAATCCTACTCCATGCACGCAGCACCCTGACCACAATCCTACTCAATGCACGCAGCACCCTGACCACAATCCTACTCAATGCACGCAGCACCCTGACCACAATCCTACTCAATGCACACAGCCTGCTAACCAGAGTTCTACTCATGGCACCCTGACCACAATCCTACTCCCCGCACACAGAATCCTGACCATGATCCTACTCACAGCACACAGCACCCTGATCACAATCCTACTCACAGCACACAGCACCTTGACCACAGTCCTACTCATTGTACTCAGCATTCTGATACCATTCATACTCACTGGACATAGCACCTTGATCAGCAGTGTTTCCTGTAAGATCAGGCCTTTCTAAACTTTTTCCTCTTGGCCTCAGATAACTTATTTGACTGTTTACTCTGTTTACTTTGAAAGGCAAATCTAACAGATATTGGTGACCCAGGTAAGTGTTGATTTTCTGGGTTATATCCAAATGGATACATCTCAAAAAGCAATGGCCTATATAGGCAGATGATTGGTAATATACATGTGTAAAGCTGGCCATACACCTTACAATTATCTGCAGATTTTATGTGGTCGGATGGAAAAGGTGCAACAGATTCATCCATCTGTAACTGTAATAATCTCCACCTGGGCTAATCTGTTGCACTTTTTCCATCCGACCACAGAAAATCTGCAGATAATTGTAAGGTGTATGGGTACCTTAAGGGGATATTCTATCAATAACATTAAATAAAAACAATAAAGGCAACTTGGCATGAAAGTAATCAGCTCACATATTCAGGCTTTGCAGGAAAAATGCTAATATAGGCATTAACAAGATTAGACAACTGAAATATTATTTCTGATTGGTGGCACAGGTTAAAGTGTGTAAAGACCAAACTTTTTTTTTAGTTTTGGAGAGAGTGGTGAGAGGTTAGAACCTCAGTCAGGTTTACATTGCATGCTGTCTGTGTTTTTGCTGAGGACATTCACCCTCACTGTTGTTCCCGGTGGCAAATTTCTCTGTTCCAGAAAGTGGTAAGGCAACCAAACTTTTTGATTTGTCACAGGGAATGGGGGGAAAACTTCCAATGGGGGCACCTGTTCAGGTTGCAAGTGTCTACAGAGAGCACAACTCTTCATACTTCCTGCTGTGTCTGCAGGAATGGAAGTAAAGGGAAACCTTTGGAATGTAACACAAACTTAAAATAAAACCTAAACAATCCCAAAAGAAGTCATAACCATTCCCCCTTCTATTTAAAGCTAAGAACAAAATACAAAAAGTTGGATTTACTGAACGGTAATGCACTTTACTTTATTGAATAACCCTGTAGACTTATTTTAATCATCACTTTCAGCCCATTAACTTGTTACTTCAAGAAGGTCCAGTACCCCATCCTTTCCCACAGCCCACTCCACTCAGCTACCTCCAACACACATCTTTCATACAGCCAATAGGCAAGAATTATGTTTTCCTTGCAAACTCATAATCTTCGTATGTATATCAATTATGAGTCTTTGATGGGGTATGGTCATGACCCATGATATGTTGATAGCATGTTTCACCGTGTTTATTGGAGGGCATTTTGGTTCATATCAGCCCAACTTGCAGTTAATAACCTGCTGTAAAGAGAGGCAGTCACAGGCTGATAAAGTATAAGAGTATAACATTGGTATAACTGCTGAAATTTGCTACGTAATACACAGCGGTAATTCAGTGCAGTATAATATTTTAAAAAACTGACTCTGCAAGATTTGTAGGTTGCTACTATTACTAACATTTTCAATAAAAAAAAATGACTGCCTTCATTATGCATGGTGACATAAATGGGAAACTAAGAGGTTCTGTCCAGATATATGCATTGTGATACTGCGTGTGTTATCATACTAAAAACATGGTAACAAATAAAACTAGGCATGGTACAGTGCCTTTCTTTTTATTGCTTGTAATGCACCCAGACCTGGCACCACAAAGCAGACACCCTGCCATCAGTGTGTTGTGGTGTTCTGCAGTGAAAATCAAATGCTGCAGGTCCATAAAAAAAACTTAATTGTGGGTCTAATGGCACGATCAACAGTTATTAAAACTATGATACAGCAAACAAAAACTGCTATGTTATTGTGATTGCCTATAGTTCCATTGTAACCCCCCTGGCAGTTTCTTACATAGTTTGACTGGTTTTCGTGGTTTTCGTGTGATTGGTGTGATCTTTGAACTGGGTTGCCAGATCTCCGCACTTGTCCATAATAAGGGCTCCCACTATCCCTGCTATCCTTAATGTATTTCATTTTTAGCGGCAATAGAGGAGCAAGAACATGCATTGGTAGGCAGGAACACACAAAACTACCATGTAGACAAGAACAGAATTAGGAACTATGGCAGAGAGATCTCACTTACTGACTATCCAAGACACATAAGAAGCCTGAGGCTGACACTGACCACCAGACCTGACATATTTATAACTGAAAATATTTATTTATTTTAGGGTGGACTGATGCTTTAAACTAAGGTTCTTTCAACTTTCTTTTCTGATAACTGCTGTATGTATGTGCTGCTATGAACTGTCAAGGCCATCAGATATCCAATTGGATGTTGAACAACCAAGATGGAAGATGCAGCAGTCAGAAGCCACATCTGTCTGGGTTTGGTACATTATTTTTTAAGCAGTAATTACGGAGGGGTAGATTTGAGATCCGGCACTGCCAAATGAAATGCACACACATGCAACTGCCACAATTAACCTGTTCTTAAATTAAAATGTTCTCTCTACTCTATTTATGTCTCTGACAAGTTGCACCCAGAAACAGGATCACTATGTCATGGCCCTTAATTTTATGACAAGTTAACCCAAACAGGCCTCACCTGGCCATTAATCCACATTGCAAGCCCACCAGGACTCCCTAAGGCCCCATTCACACTGAGCGATTCGCAAATCGTTTGTCGCGCGATTTGCATTTGTGCGATATTGCGCGTTTGTCGCGCGATATCGCGCAAATGCTTGCATTGAGCAAGCTAGAATCGCGGCAAAATCCGCTCCAAAAAGGGTCCTGCTGTAGCGACACACGACCCGCGACACACGACCCGCGACAGCGACGGACAGAGCCCCATTGCCATGCATTGGAGAGCAATATCGCTCGGTAAATAGCCGCGATATCGCGGGAATTAACACGCGATAAATCGCTCAGTGTGAATGGGGGCAAAGGCGTATTGAATATGCGCGTTTGTCGCACGTTTCATGACGCGCGTTTTTACCGCGAGGGCTACTTGGCTGTATCCCATTGGAAACGCGCTACAAAAACACCGCAAAAAAGCTCATGTACCTTTTCAGGCGTAGGCCGTTTTGTAGCGCGTTCAGACGGGCTGAAATACGGCAAGGTGTGAACCATACCCATAGAAAACATTGGGATTTTAATGTTTGAGCGTTTTGTAGAGCGTTGAACGCGCTACAAAACATACAGGTGTGAACCAGGTGTTACAGGGAGCACCACTTAAATCATATAGACACCCAAGGCCCTTCTGTATCCTGTCTAACTACAGGCCTATAAACCCGCGCTCTTAACAAGCTTATTCTCTGCTTGCTTTAGTAAGTACTGTTTACTTCCAAGACAAACCAGCATATCATGTAAAAAAACTTTTATTCAAAAAAGAGAAATATTAAAAAATAAATTATATTCAATTTTCTTCAAATGATTAAGAAATGTTTCTTCCTTTTTTGCATATATCAGATTAAATTAATTATAAATTATACATTCAATTTCCGGGTTTACTTAAACAAATTGCAATAAATATATAAATATTAACTTGATTGCCATTGGATTTGTACAGATATGATAAATTACATTGCACAAGGTGAGCTATGTACAAATATACACACACACACACACTCACACACACTCACACACACACACTCATACAAATAAATATTTACAAAGGTGTCAAAAAAGTGCAAGTCCAATTTAAACGTCCACACAAAGCGTCAGGGGTGGCTCATTTTCGATGTTGTTCAGAGATGATTTGTTTAGTTTCCTGGGGTCTTCTGGTGTCCAGACTTTGGCTGTCCGAACAATGTTCTGATCCCGGAGTTGTTTCTCATCGGTCCAGGATAGAGAATGGCCAGCTAGAGGAGGAAGACCATAATCTGGGTCACTTGGAGATGGAGATCCTAAAGGATAGAGAAAAAAAGATATCAGGTTAGTTTCCATTAATTGTTGCCAGTCATCACAACATTGTGCTTTAGAACAGGAATATCATACCTAGGCTGCAAATAGTACAATGAGTTGCCCTAAAGTTAAAGCATATCTTAAACCAAAATCTTTTTTAGTCCCCCTGGGAATACCATTGGGAAGATTTTCCTCCACTTTCTGTCTCAAAACCCAATGGGAAGTGAGAATACATCACTCCAAAGTGGTTGAAACCCCTTCTTAGACAGTTGTCACTGGAACAAGTGTCCTCACTAGAGGATATTCCCTCTGTACCTGTACTTGTTACAGTTCCCTCATTTTAAATCCCAGCAAAAATGGCCCCCAGCTCAAAAAAGAGCGGGTGAATTTTGGTGGCTCATGGTGCTGGGATGATCTGCTGAAGGGTAGGTAGATATCTTCACACCAGTTCTTCGAAGGTAGATATCTGTGTGTTATGCCCACCCACACTCAGGAGAATTAACAAACTATTGTGTGCCTTTGATTGGTCAGATTTGCAGTGACTCACAATCTGGATTACTCATCTCTAATTGCTGACATTACAAAACAGCTAAAGATTTGTATATGATCTAAAATGTTTTTCTTTAACAGATTAACATTAGCAGGAAGCTTTGATACTACTCTTATCTAAAGCTGGTCATACACCTTACAACCATCGCATGACTTTTGTTGTGCGATGGTTGTAAGGTAATTCAAATCTCGTACGATCTGCCCATCTTGGACAGGCAGATCGTATTTGTGATCATCGCAAGCCCTCCCCGCTGAGGGGCGAGCTTCCGATGAGTCCAATGCTGAGCGGGCAGTGTGCGCTTGAGCGGGCAGTGTGCGCTTGCGCACACCGCCCCGTTCGACATTTGTCTTCCGAGCACGCCACTAACCCTCCGAAAAAGCGTGCTTGGAAGACAAAAGGCGTGCGACTGTACAGTAGAAACGGTCGCACGCCTTACATACACCTGCCGATTATCGTACGATCGCAGGATCACCCGCGATTATCGTACGATAATCGGCAGGTGTATGGGCAACTTTAGGAGGACAATTGAGTGATCAAATAACCCAATTTGGCAACAGCCTTTTCCCCTCAAGATCTGTTGACCAAAAATGTCTACCTGTAAAAAATAAGTCAAGGCAACTGTATATTTCTTGAAGACGTTTCACTGGTCATCCAACCAGCTTTCTCAATTCAGAATGATTTGTATAAACATTCTCTGGGAATATATAAGGTATGGCACGTCCAGTTGCTTTGACTTATTTTTTACAGATATACCATGACCTGGATACATGAGAACCTTCACAGACAAAAGTGTCTACAGACATCCTGGTGTGTGCTCATTTCTATGCCTGGCAGGACCATGTAAAGATAATCTAAAATGTCAGTGGCCTGGCTACTCTGGATTCAGCACTTTGAGTTACTCACTGGGAACAAGCATGCAGTAAGGGAAGTCAAAACTTCAGTTCTGAATACTTGTTCCAGGTCATCAAGACAGCCAGAGAGGTAGCATTTTCAGAAAGAGATTGGCAATGGCAGCCTCCATATTTCCCTCACAACAGGTTTCCTTTAAGGCTGGCCACAGGTGGGCAAATCCCAATGAACTACAAAAGCATCACAATGAAGAATGGTCTGTAATCAATCACAATGATCTTCCAGCATGGTGAAAAATCCCACAATGCTGGTCACTGCCTAATCTGCCTAATTAGTGCTAGAGAACCCACAGCCACTCATCGCCAGCAAACCTTGTCTGCAAGTGTCAATGCTAATCAATTGGTGTGCTGATTATGATGCATTGGGGTAAATGTATCAAAGTTGTAATTACTAACTTATCCCACATCTGGTTACAGAATTCACCTTGCCTTTTGTCTGTTTAATATGTAGAGTAGGTAGGTAATGACTTCCTATCCTATGGGAGGCTCCTGCTGGTTCCACAACTAATGTGCTTTATACTCTGCTCATCACAATGTAGATTGGAGAATCTGGTTTTACAGTTCTGTTTGCAGCAAAACTGCTTTCTCTTATTTTTAAATGATTCCCTTTGCTGCTATATGTTATTAACCATATTTTTTAGAAATCTGAGGATTTTCTATATGCAAAGCAATGTCTTTAGAAGCGGTCTCACAAACATGAGAGAGGTCCCCAGTGGTTCTCTATTCATATAATGCCTCGCACAGGGCACTAATTGCAGACGATTTACTAACAGGGTTATTCACAGAAGGGTGAAGAGTTTGGAGAAGGCCGGAGAAGTGAACAATCTAGGACAACATAGCTGAACTGGAAAGTGAGCTGAATTGGAGAATGTTTCCATATCAGCTATGTTGTCCTAGATTGTTCACTTCTCCTGCCTTCTCCAAACTCTTCACCCTTTTGTGAATAACCCTGTAAGAGTGTTGATTTTGCAAAGTGAATGTTCGCTAATTTTAGTGAATAAGGATAAGCTGTGTTAGATCTGAAGAACCAATCATGTGTAAGAGAAATAATAAAAATATATATTTTGGCTTGACATGATTGGATGATTAAAGTGAGCACAGCTTCATCTTACCCATAAGATAGGATAAGATAGTTGCATAATAAACCTCCTCTCCTTTAGTAAATCAGCCTGGCTGCGTTGATGTTTCTGTTTTTAGCTGGGGTGACACTAGCCTCCGGCAGCCAGCAATTTGACAAAATTGGAATCATTGATTGGAAACATTAATTTTGGCTGCAGTGAGCAGAGTTGGTCAGTAAGCAGAGTTAAAACTGAATAAAAGATTCAGGAAACAGGCTTTTTTTTGCCACATGTTAAGGAATGAATAATCTTGACGTGCCCTTTCAGGACAAGCTGGGACCAGTAGTGCCACAAGAACAGGGGGCCAACAGGTGCACACAGCAACTCGGCTACATAATTGCCCAATATCTACTGTGGAAATATAAACTTTAGCGTGGTCTGTACATACTGGGGTGACAACCATTTAGATTTTAGGGGTCTTGGACAAAGTCACAGACCCCGGTTGTGGATATTAAAGAGTCTCCAAGGTCCTTCCTAAATTCTGAAGACCTGCTAACTGGAACACCTGACCCAAGTCCCAAACCTCCCCAATGTATCTTCCCAAGTCTCTATCTGGACTTTAATTCTGCAAGATCTAAAGATTAATTTAATGATGAACTCAGGCTGGGGCTTGTAGTGCCCCAAAGCTACAAAACCTATATTCCTATCCCTCCCCCCCCCCATTCACCCCAGGAAACTGAAGTTATCAGCAGTAAGAAGAAGTCCTCAAGTGTCAGCAGGTGTACACTATGATGGGACTTGCAGCTCCTCGATAGTTCTGGGACTGGTAGTTCCCTGACACATACAGGTCCACTTCAGCTTTGGATGCCCCCAGATCCCAGACTTGCACGTTATTGTTCTAGAAGTCATAGAGAGCTCTTACTTCCTCTACAACTATAAAGTGATTCTGTACCAGAGTGGGGCTGGGAGCTCGTGTTGGAAGTAGGGCTTAACAAGATCTTGTACCTGCTTCAAATTATAGTGGGATTTGGAGTTTCTCAGCAGCTAGAGTCTATACATTTGTATACTTCCCAAGTGTTTCTAAGAATGGGACCCATGCTGTGCAAGTAGTTCTTCAGAGGCATTAGAGAAAAGAGACCTGAGCTCATGCTGGGGCATCATAGCTTTCTCAATAGTCCCTAGAAGCTCTAGTACCCATATCCCTTTCTTCCTCCTAGGTGTCAGTTCAGGTCTTGTACCTCCATGGTGTAGACAACCTCAGATCTCGCATCCCCTCTCTGGTGCTCCTAGGTTTAGACATGCTAGGGCTGTTCTTTAGCTGCTACAGAGGTCCATTTCTATATATCTTTCTCCCTCCCCAGGGTACCTAGGTCTGTATTGGTGCTAGCCCTGTCTGCTCTTCAGCACCTGCAGAAGTTTAGGTCTACCATACCCTGCCCATGGTGTGCCCAGGTGTGCACTCACTTGTTCCTCTGTGGCAGATGATGACCTTCTTGGGTTGCAGAGAGCTCTCGGTATTTGGGTTCCTCAGGGGGAGATCTGACTGCACAAGCTCGCTGAGGAAGTTGATGTAACCGATGGCCAGCCGCAGGGTGTCCACCTTGGAGAGTCTCTTCTCGTAGGGCAGGGTGGGGATGTGGGTCCGGAGACCCTCGAAGGCATCATTGATGGACTGCATCCTCCTGCGCTCTCGGACATTGGCCGCCTGTCTGAGCTGCTGCATCTCCGCGTCGGACCTCATCCTCCTCCTCCTCTTCACAGCACCACAGCCGGTGCCCTTCATGCCCGGGGACAGGTCGCAGCCGACCTCCCCGCAGTCGTAGGGGAAGCCCCCAGAGGACGAGGTGGACGAGAAGGAGAAGTTGCCGGCGTCGCAGTAGTCTTCCCCGTGCAGGATGCGGCTGTCCTTATAATAGTCCTGGATCTGGCCGGTCAAGAAGTCCACATCGTCCTCCAAAAAGTCCTCGGCGTCCAGGTGGTCCCTGGAGGACTGGTCGGTGAAGAAGTCTTCTTCATCGAAGTATGGGGAAGGGAAGGACTCCAGTCCTGTAAACTGCTCCAGCACTGTGTCCATGGCTGGGGTACCGGTGCTGCGCTCCGTCTATAGTGCCGCTATACAGGGACACGCGAGGATTCTTATAAGAACATCCAGAGACGCGTGCCTGGACCGTCAGCCCTCAGCCAATCAGCGAGCACCTCGCTCCCTCCCCATCCCTACAAACACCTACATGTGCTGAGCGGACGGTCACGCCCCCTCCCCCCCGCTTCTCACACAGGTAACGGGTCGCCCAGCTGCTGAGACTTCCCAACATAAGGGGGAGGTCAGGGAGACAGAGGGGCGGCCAGCATGGGCTTGTAGGGGGACAATGGGCACAAATCATGGTGTCAGCCGCTCATAATCAAAGCTCTTCAGGCTCCAGTACCATGAGGACAGCTTACAGCACATTGTAGCACACTGACAGCCCCAGACAATGAGCGCAGGGACTTCTGCGACCACAACTCAATGCAATGGCACCGAGTACTTCTCAGCTGTATGATGAACCCTTTTATTACAGCCGGTGCCTGCATAGTCCTATACAGACCAGTGACCATTACATCTGTATAATGACTACAATGATGACTCCTAATTTCATTTTTATAATAAATATGTCATAAACGGATTTACCAAAACTTGTAAAAGTAACGCAGACAAGTAGAAGCAAGAGGGAATGATGTACTGAAGGAGTACAGAATGGTCATGTGACCTATTAAACAAGGTGATGCTGTCTGCACATCAATCATTCAATCACATATGTGCAAAAATTACTGTTTATATCACTTTATCATTATTGAGTAATCAGAGGGAACGATGCTTTGCTCCATCAGCCGAGCTAAGTGAAAATTATCTATTGGTATCTGAGAAACCAAACTTTTCATCATGAAGACCTTAAAATTTAAAATCTAATACCCCAGAATCTCCATCCCCCTCACCCCTCCCTCTATCTCCTCTTT